ATGAATCTGTTCTATGATTCTTGGTGGGTTTTGGATATAAATGCATGTTTTCCCTATCCAGCTTTTAATTCCCAGTCACTCTTTTGTTAGGTCTCTATTTTTATTCCACAGCACATTCTTACAGCCTATTCCAAGCTCGTCCCTTTGCTTTTAGAGGTCCCTGTGACCTCTCCCCTCGCAGAAGGGCTCCTGGCCGTGCTCAGCAGAGGAGAACTCGGTTTGTTTTCCCAGTTTCCCTTCCTGCTCTCTGTCCCTGCTGTGTGAGCAGCCGCCACTGAGGGGCAGCGCTGCCTGGGGAACAGCCGTGCTCCCGGGGGAGCTTCAAACCCACCGTGTCCTGTCCTCCCTGCTCCTGGAGCCTTGCTCCATCACCCATCCAGGCACGGCATTCCTTTTTGCACCATGCCTGGATTTTGTGTTTGGTACCTGCTGCCCATCGTGCCCATTGTGTGCAGCTCCAGGACAGAATATTGCCACTGCAATTCACGCTGGAAGGAGCTTTCCCTGCACTGATCTGTGGAGTTATCACCCGTCCTCCCTGTGCTGGGTGTTTGTACATCTCTAAAGAGGGGTCTCTTACCCAAATGGATTGTCTTGGGCTGGATTATAGCCTCTTTATCCCAGCTTAACATATGGGAAATCCCAGGAACAGCCCTGAAGGAGTGTGTTCATGAGAGCTTATCCATGCTTAAAGGTGGTATTCATTCATTTAGCCACTTCTGCACCACTTTTTAGTCAAGTTCAGTGCAGTTTTGTGGACAGTGAGACTTTGTGGGGAGGAAGATTGTGTGGTTCTTTGTTTTCCCATTAACTCATCTGGTTGGGAATTGCAGCTCTTTAATTAAAGCAGCACAGTAGGGACTGGCCTCGAGGTGCTGTTCTGAGGCACTTGCATTCACATCTGCTTTGGGTAAAGCTCAGCCTGTTTGGGGTCAGCCTGTGCTGTTGCATGTCCAAGAGCAGGAGGAAGCAGCAAATCAATCACTGGGGCTCTGTCCCAGGCTGCCTCCCCTCCCTGCTGCCAGCATCCCCCGTGTGCCAGGGCTGGAGCGTGCACCTCGCCCTTCCTGGGGGATGCAGGGAACCACACAAGGATTTAATTACCCAGCATATGGAGGGCTGAGGGGAGCTCAGGGGGCGGCGCTGACAGCCGGGGCTGTTGCCTGTTGTTGTTTAAGTGGAGTTTCCCCCACCCTCTCTGCGTTTTGCTCAGTCAGTAAATGGCCCCGTGTAAACTCCTCCGGCACAAGCGGGCAGGCGGGAATGCCGTGGGCAGCCGGGCTGGGATCTGGGTGGATCATCTGATGTTTTTGTCCATGTGGCATTTGTTTAGGTTGCAATCGGGAAAAGTGACTTCTGTTACTGACTGTGGCCAAGAGAATGTGGAGACTGGCAAGGAAAAGTTGATTACTTGGGATTTTTGCCCCCCGTGATGAGTGGGATGGACTTTGGAGAGTTATTTTTAGTTGATGATAGGGTGAGGGGAAAAAAGTCTAGGCTGTGTTTAAAACTGTAGCATCCATTGTAAGTACCAGCAGAAGTGCTGAGGAAGGTGGTAAATTCATATAAAACATTCTCTGCCACCTTCATTAGGTGCTGGGACAATTAACAAGGGTGTTGAAGGGTTGTGCAAAGTGTCCACCCTTGGCCAGGCTGGCCCTGAGCACTGAAAGCTGCACATGCAGCACTGACCCTGGGAACAAAGGATCCTCCTGAACCCAAACATGTTTGTGTTAATCCCGGCTGCTTCCTGGCGGGCAGCGGGAGGAAGTGGAGCCAGTGCCTCCGACAGATGTACAGTGAGGAGATTACAGGGTGAGATTAAACACCCTCTCCATCACATCCTCCCTCGGCCAGCACAGCAGTAATGGACTGTCCCAGGCTGCCTGCCAAGCTGGGGCAGATGTAACAAGCAGCAGATTCTGCATCTCCTGTCTCCATGCCTGGTTTGGAGCCGTTCCCTAATGCCAGGACTTGTTCAGCTCCTGAAGCTGCCTTAGCTGTACCTGCCTGTGAGGAGGAGTGGGCTGGGTGGGAGAAGGCAGGAGAAAACATGGAATTCACAGCACCCAGAAATGATGCATTCAGCTGAAGTGCTGTTATAGCTAAAACACAAGTGCCCCTACCTGAGTACAGCAGGGTTTGCTAAGGGACCAAGTGCTGAAGAAGTTGGGAAGGATCTTTATTTTGGTGGACTGAACTGCTTTTTGGCTACTATACTTTTAGAGTAGATGATTTCAGGGCAGCGAAGGACTTGTTCCCTCTTTCTGGGTTTAGGTGGTGCCTTATATTGCTGTGGCCAGTCTTGGTGCCTTGTGCTGCTCTTCCCATGGAAATAATCCAGGTTGGTTGCAAAAATCAGCTGTTCCACTGCATGTTTAGGTTAATTAATGTGGTAATGGGACAGTATCTTCCATTAACAAACAAAGGGATGGTTCTGAAGGAAAAGAACACTTTGTGGAAATTGTAGGGTTCAGAATTGTCATTGTGTGAGATGTGCAAAACCCTCATCAGCCAAGGGGGTTGGGTTTGACTCAGCAGAAGTTTAAAAAGGTCACTTTTCCTGGGCAAGGGCTGTGAGCTCAGTTGTGCTGCTGGGGCAGTAGCTGCTGTCTGAACCATGGGCTGTGTGAAGGGATCAAGCAATGTGCCATTGTTTTTGGATAGAATAAGGGGGAAAATCCCAACAGGTTCTGCCAATGACACGCGTGTGGTGCACATTCCCCAACCTCCCGTGGAGAGGACGTTGCTCAGCCAGAGGCAGCACCAGGTGACACTCGGGAGCTGGGAAGCCACAGCACTGTCCCTTCATGGGGTACATTGGCACAGGCCCAGCTGCCTGTGGGTTTGCAGCTCCTTGAGGACAGCACAGCTTGGGAGGGATCCCAGAAACGTGCACAGCTGTGGTGGGACCTGCTGAGCCACACAGGGAACCAGATACCTCCTGTGGTGCCATCCCAGGAATGCACAGGCCATGCTTCTTCCCTTTCTCCTTGCCTGCACAGAAATCCCTTTTCCTGAGTGCAGGAGACAACTGTTTGGCAAATAAGAGCAGCCTGGGCTCCAGGGAGAGCATTGTTTGCAATAGCCACGGGCTGGAGGCAGGAGCAGAAGGGAATGACTTGGGATGAGGGTCTAAGTGGCACCATCTGCTTCTGAAGGGCATTGTTTGGGCAGCAGAGGAGGCTCCTGGAGTTAAGTAATTGGGAATAGCAGGCTCCTGGCTGGAAAATGTGCCAGCCCTCCTGGCAAAAAGCTGTTAAATCTCTGTTGCTGGCATGGAAGCAGTTCTGTGTAACAGGGCTCCAAAGGCTCTTTTTAACCCTTGGTGTACATTAAAAAGGCAACCTGAGGCACTTTTGATCTTGGAATGGCATGTGGCCAGGTGTTGGGAATAAAGGAGAAGGTGGGTCCTCATGGAGGTATGTGAACAGCTCCCAGTCTGATCCTCCTGTGCTGCCAACAGCCAGATGTGGCCTGCCAAAAATGCACACAAAATGGTGCCTGTTTTAACAGCTTTAGCAGGAAAACACAGGCTGTGATGAATGATTCATGAGAATCAATAGAACCCGAGGCATTTATTGCCCCTAAAACCGGTGCCTGCCTGCCAAGGGGTGCATTTGCAAGGTGAGTGATCACAGAATGCTCTGCTGGGTTTTGAGATGCAGTCACAGCTCGCTGCAGCCCTCACCCCCTGTCTGCAGCCAGGCCCAGGAGCCTTTCATTCCCCAGATGAAAGCAGGAGCAGTTGGGCATCTCCCAGCGAGCACAGATACAAACAAGGCCCCATTTTGCATCCCCCCCTCCTAGGGTGGCTTCCTTGGAAGCTTTGGCCTTCATCCTGTTTGTCTGATTCACGATCAAAAGAGTGTTGCTGCCTACGTGTGTCTTGAAGCATTTTCTTCTTTCATAGCTCACATAAACGGCCAATTTCTTCATTAAAATGAAATGGAGGTAAATGAAATCAAGTAAGATCTGTCTGTGCAGTGGTTGTATATTACTGATAGTGAGACCAGGGCTGGGCAAAGCTCTTTTGGGACCTTTTCTGGTGTGCAGGAGAAAAGGATGCTGCATAGCCAGATGGGTTTTCCTGCCAGGGGGAAGGTTGGATCTAAGAGTCCAAGTCCCAGCCATCCTGAAGATGAAACAGTTGGATCATAAAACATGTATTTTTTTTCAAGTCTGATCTGGATGTTTTTTAATCTTCCTCAAATTAAAGGAAAATCTTTTGTTTGACCCAAAACAAAATTGTTTTCTTTGGCCAGCCAACCGAAAAAATCAGCTCTGTCCCCGGTGTTGGTCCAAGCTCCTTTCCTGATTGTGCCTCCACAGCAATCCTGCTCCATGCAACTTTACCAGTCCTGGATTAGAGCCTTGTTGCTAAAGAATTGGCAGGAACAAGAGAGTTCAGCTACTTGCTCTAAGTTTAGTCCAACTCTTCTGGTTAAGTTTGTAAATATTTGCTCATATCCTACCTCGGTTTTATGGATGTTTGTCCAGATTCTATTTTTCAGCTGTTTAATCATTTATTTTGTGACATTTTCCAAAACAATATATATATTTGCTTGTGTGCCTGGTGAAGCTGAGGTTTTGATGTAACTGCGAAGTTTCCATCAATGGTGGAATTAGAAGCCCTTTATGTGAAAATGAAGGATTTTGGTTAGGAAACAGATGACCTTGATGTCCTTTGCCACCACATTTTTACCTTTGCAGCCTCCTCTGGGTTGTGACTGGTGAGCCTGGTAGCTGTCCCATGAGTTTTAGGTGATTATGATTTATGGGTTTATTTTATTTTTTTTTCTTGTGCCTTGGAAAGACCTTTGGCTCCCATTATCTGTGGCCTTTGGTCTCTTATGGAGGACAAACGTGCAGACCACTGTACCATTCTGCCAGCCCCACCCTCACCTGCAGCTCGATGGGGGATTTTTTACAGTTCTTAAAGCTGTTAGTGATGTGCTGGGTGTTTTTTTCCTTCCTTTAATGTTTGTTATCCTCCTCAGGAGACGTGTCGGAAGTGCCAGGGGCTGTGGAAGGAGCACATGAATCTCACCTGTGAGCAGCTGGCTGAGAAGGATGACATCAAATACAGGACATCCATGTAAGCGAGAGGGGAAAACAGGGAGGTGGATGAGCTGGCACTCACAGCACACTGTCCCTCAGTGCTGAGGGGTCAGGCAGCTCCCAGGATGGGATTTCTGTCTGTGAAAGACACTTGGCAGCAGCTCCAGCTGGTAATTTGAGAACGTGGGAAAGCTGTCACCAGCCCAGCCTGCTCCTCTGGCTGGCCCAGTGTCTGCAGGCTGGCACCTGGTCCTTCTCCGAGGTGAGAAACCCCCGTTAGCATCCCTGGGGGCAGAGGAGTGGATTGAGTCACAGTAGGTCATTACTGGCCTTTGAAAATCTGCAGTGGAGACTGCACTGTTTGCTCAGCTGCTGCTTTGTGGGAGAGGATGTGTTTTCCTCCAGAAGCTTTTGCCTGTTTCTAACCAGTTTGTAGGAATTGTTACAAAGTGCAGTCACATTTTGAAATATGCAGATGTGAATCCTGACTGTTACCCTAAAATCTTTTGCAGCTTGATTTCCCTCTTATCTACAGTAAATGACAAAATCTTCTGCCTTCAGGAAATGAGGGAATTTTCATGCATGGAGCTAAATGTCTGCTGCAGCCAAGTGGGACTTGCCCACATTGCCCCATCCCTTCCTCTCTGATTTAGTCTGTCTGGCTTGAGTAGAGGTTGGAAAGCTCCACCACTGGGATTTGAATGACTCTTGCTTGCTCATCCCACAGTCCCTAATTCAGAAAAAAAAATCTTTACAGATTTTATATTACTTTTTTTTCTCTGCTGATCCTTTCCCTGTAGGAAAAAGGGATAAGAGAGAGGAGGAATGAGTTGTCATGTCCCTAACAAGGAAAAAATACCAGTTTCAAAACCTTCAGCAGATTGTGTCTGTGGATAGATGAGTCTAACTGCCTGATACAATAAAAACTTCCTTTTGAAGCCCTGCATAAGGAAAGGGAAGCCCAGCTGGAGTTCAGGCTAAACTTCCTGCCTTGCTCAAAGTTTCCAAAAAAAAATCTGCATTGACAGCATCCTGTTGAGTGGCAGAGGGAAGAGCAGCTGCAGCTCCAAGGAGAGTCACTCTCAAGTTGGGTTTTTGTGCCTATTCTTAGCACATCTCCACATGCCTGGGTGCAGGTCCTGCTGGCTGCAACTCTGTGGGAACCTTGGGTGTCTGCAAGGCTGGGAAGTTCCCACCTCACCATTCCCTGCTCATCTGGTGGTGCTGATGGAGCAGTTTGTGGGGCTCTGCTGTAGTCCTCAAAAACACCTCCCTGCCATCTCCCAGACATTTTGTTAGCTTTGCAGATGCACTGAAGCAGCTGGGTGGAGATGCCTGGCTAAGGATGATTCTTCCCCAGTGTCAGAGGAATTGTGCTTCCCTCCATGCAAACACGCTGGCTTTGCTCTGCTGTCATCAAATTTCACTTCTAGGTTGTGAATTAAAATGTAACATGATCTCCAGCGGTCAGAAAATGGGCCCTCAGGATGATAATTTATATTCTGAAGTCTTTTAATTAAATGACCGAGCCTTTCTTCATTTCTGTGCCAAAATAGTCTTGCTGTGAGCTGAGCCTTGCTGGAGTGTGTGTCACTGCCAGGGTGTCCCTTGGGAACAGGGATTGAGCTTTGTCCTGGAGTCCCACTTGTGCTCTGGTAGATGAAAACCCTTTTCTTAAACCTAAAGCAATAACCTCTGCAAAATGTATGTAGGGAATCTTAGAGAAAAGATAACACCTCTGTGGGGAAATGTGATTATTTTTCAGTTACTGATTTAAATTTAACAAACATTAAGTGAATCCGGAGCGTAGCAGCCAGACTTGGAAGAGAAATACATGGTCCTGGCAACTTTGTAGCCAGAGCAACAGGCAAACATAAAAGCTAGAGGTGACAGCCAAATGTTTGCTTTTCCTGAACTTTATCTCCTTGGCTGTATTTTCCTTCAGCCAGCTCAAGCATCCATGTGCCCTTTGGCTCTTGAACTTGCATCTCAAATTCCTCCCAAGCCAGAGGCTGGTGCTTTGGCTCTCATGGAAACCAGGATAAGGGCTGCAGCATGCAGCCAGTGATTGACTTCTTTTCACTGATTTTGTTCTTGAGTTGTCGTGGGCTGGCTCCAAGTGGAGCTGAGCCCAGACCTCCTTGGAACAGCAGCAGGCCTGGGGATGGAATCGGAGCAGAGAGGAGGGGGTTAAAGCCTTGCTGGGGAGGTGTAAAAGCCATTTTATCACAGGCTGGTGAGAGCAAACACCCCTTTGCTAATTGTCCCTGGTCTTGCAGAGAGGAGAAGATGACAGCTGCCCGGATTAGGAAGTGCCACAAGTGTGGGACAGGCCTGATCAAGTCGGAGGGCTGTAACCGCATGTCGTGCCGCTGCGGCGCCCAGATGTGCTACCTCTGCCGGGCTGCCATCAACGGCTACGACCACTTCTGCCAGCACCCCCGCTCCCCTGGGGCACCCTGCCAGGACTGTGCCAAGTGCTCCCTCTGGACAGACCCCACAGTAAGTAACAAAGGAGTTTTGTCAATGATTCTCACCCCAGTTTCAATCAGCACCCGCACCGCGCTTTGCAATACGCACGTTCCAGTGGGGGGAAATGGTTTTAGTCAGCTCAACTTTTATCTTTCCCAAGGCAGCTAAAATACCACACTGGGATCCTGCAACAGCACAGAGTCACATCTGACCACAGCTTGGGAGGAGCTGGTGTTGCTTTAGGGAAAATCAGCTCCTTTCACATGAGGGCTTTGGCTGGAAATGCTCTGAGTGCTGTTCTGGAGAGTGAGGCTGGTGGGGAGTAATGCTGGCTCCAGGCACAGCAGCCAGCACTGGGATTATTGGGACTCACTCCTACTTTTGCAGTTGAGATGGTGTTGGCATGGCTTGGCATTTGGAGGCAAGGAGAATTGTGGTTTTGGTGCCCAGATGATCTGACTGCTGGCTGTGAATCCTGTCACAGAGATGGACCCATCAGAAAAGTGCCTGCAAGCCCAGAGTTGTAGTTGGGTCCATTGTCAGGGCTGTTGTCAACAGCTGCAGAGGGAGAGCTGAACTGTGAGTGAGCTGTAGTAATTTAATACAGCTCCTATCTGTGACAGGCTTGGGAAAACTTGCTGCAGCAAGTAAGTCTCTGTAAATAGAGGTCTTCAGTACTGTAAATCCAGGAGTGCTGGAAGGAGCAGGAGTTGAATTTCCTGATTTTAGCAAAGCTGTAGAGAAACATGAACGTGGATCTGCCTTCCCAGGGCTGGCCTGAACTTCCTTTTTCCTAATGGTTCTTTGTCTTGGGTTTCTGCAGCTTTCCAGGCTGTTCCCAGCCCCCCTGTCTGCAGGGAATGTGCACAATCCTGCATCTGCACAGAGTCAGGGAAAATCCACTCTAAATCTCTCCTTTCTACCTCCAGGCTCTTGGGGATCTCCCAGCAATGTCACAACCAGCATAAGCTTCCAAGTCTTTTGCTTGCCTGCTTTTATTCCCTGAATTATCCTGTCAGTGTGAGCTGTTAAACTACACACAGCCTCCTCCTTGCAGGCACCCCTGGAGCGTTTCTGACACCTGGTTCTGAGTTTCTGGGATTGCTGTCCCACTCCTTTTCCAGCAGGATGTGATTTGGGGCTCAGCAGTGCTGGCATCCGTTGTTCCTGCCAGGCTGCTGATTGTGCTGGGGGATGGCATTTGTTCAGAACCAGAGAAAACATGAGGCCTCTCAAAAAAGCTCGTACTGTACTTCCAAATAAATAAATAAATAAGCAGCACAAAGAGGCCACTGTCACCAGGCCCTTTCCACCTCTCTAATTAACCAATGTTGTGGCAAAGAAAAATTTCCCACTGTCAGCACAGAGCTGGCACTGCCTGCTCTTTTATTATTTAATTCTTTTTGGGATGATGGAGTGCTGGTGGGCTGGGGAGGTGAAGCTGGGTGACTGTCCTTGCTGCAGTGCAAAGAGTAACACAGAACTCAGCTGCTGGCTTGAAGCTGCAATGATGGTACCTGTGTGCATGGTCCTGCCTCACAAGGGGCTTAGGGACACCAACCCAACCCCTCCAGGGTGATCTCTGCCCTCATATGGGATGTGGAGACAAGAATTAGCCTGGTAGATGTAAAGAGGAAAGTGGCATTTGAGTCTTGACATGGAGATTTGAAAGAGCAAAAGACCATTGCATCAGTAGTGTTCTGTCCTTTGCCAGGGATAAGGTCCATCCAAGGCATGGCTTTGAAAGATCTGGTTTGAGTCTAAATCCCTATTATTTACAGCAAAATTCAGGTTTCTTTAAAATAGGGAACCTTTGTTCTTTTCCAAATGTTTAATGTTTTCCCAGTCTGAAACAATTCTTGTGAAAGTATAAGCAAACCTATTCATTAGCTTGGGTTAAAAACAAATTAAAGGCAGTCCTCTAGGAATGGCAGCATCTGTTAGTCTTTGTCTCAAATGATCTTGAGAGAGTAAAGCAGAGGCTTCAAAATTTCCCATAATTAAAGGTTAGTTAAGATTTTGTCCCTAAGCTGTAATCAGGCTGGAGTCTGATTTAAAAGTATCGGTGCAATATTTGCTGGCTCTGAGACAAGCTGCAGTCCTGCTGTGGTGAGCAGCTTCCACGGGGGCCAGGCAGGAATTGTTTAATCCCTGCATTTCTTCTGGAGCTAACTGGTGCCCTGCACCCCTGCAGGAGATGCCAGGAGCCCTTCCCAGGGAGCTGCTTGGCCAAAAACCCTCGTGTCCCCCCGTCCATGCGGGCTCTGCTCTGCAGGAGAGGCTGATGCAACATTGCCAGAGACAAAGCTCCGGAGGGAGCAGTGGGAATAAAGCTGTTAGAAAGCATCCAGAGAGATGGTGCAGGGCCTTGAGGGGAAGCTGTCTGAGGAGTGGTTGAGGCTATTTGGTTTGTTCAGCTGAGGGGAGATTGACTGGGGGCTGCAGCTCCAATCTCTGCTCCCTGTGAGCAGGGACAGGACCCAAGGTAACATGTGGAGCTGTGCCAGGGAGGTTTAGGTAGGATATCAAGAGAAGGTTCTTCTCCCAGAGGGTGCTGGGGCACTGGAGAGGCTCCCCAGGGAATGGTCACAGCCCCAGGGCTGCCACAGCTCCAGGAGCATTTATTTGGACATCACCAGGCACAGGGAGGGATTTTTGGGTGTCCTGTGCAGAGCCTCAAGTTGGACTTGATGATCTTTGTGGATCCTTCCCAGCTTAGGACACTCAGGTTCTACAGATTGGCTCTGGGATGCAGGGTCTGTGTTTGCCCTGATTTCTAAACATCTGTAGCAAACCTAAGGCTGCTTGTGTGCATTTCATCCAGTTTTACAAATCCTGGGATGCAATGGGATTAATGCATTCTGGTAAACCAGGTTCTGCTCTCAAATGTATTATTTTGAATTTAATACTCATCTTTGGGCTCTCAGTAATATTGCACAGAGGCTTTTTTTGGCTTTAAAGTTTTAAGATGTTTTCAGTAAACTCTTAAAACCCTCCCAAAGGCCCATAGTTAAAGTTCAAAGCAGAAGACTAATCATCATGAGGTGTTTGCAATTATCCCCCCTTCTGGTGTTATAAAAAGATGATGTTGAGAGAAGACTCTGTAAAACTTCAAATGCATCAAGGAAATGCATGAAGTGCACAGTGCTGCCTTTAGGATTTGGAAGTGAGAAGGGGGGAGAAGCTCCCCTAAATTTAGGATGTGGAGTTTGTGGTGGGCTTGGGGTTTTTTTAACTGCTATGAAATGCCTCAATCATAAGCATATGGTTCATCCAGGGGAATTCACACAAAGATATGGAATGCCTGTTGCTAAAATAACTCTGCATTTCTTGAACTCCAGCGTGTGCTTGGTCCCCATGCTGGCCCCCCTTTTCCTGCAGCACTGCGGATGCCCTGTTCCAGTTAGAGCACAGGCTGCTTTTATCCCTGCTTCCTGCTGCATGGAGCAGCACCCAGAGACAGCCCAGGCCTGTTCTTGCTCAGCCTCTCTGCAGCTGATCTGGGAATGATTTGAAACAAAACCCCTCAGTCCTTTGGAAGCCTCCGTCGTGAAAAATCATTTCGAGTTTATTAGGAACGGCTGCGGCCACACGTACGTGGAAAAAAGAAAGCAGTAAAGAGGCAGAAAGGGGGAGGCAGTGGTGCTGAAGCACTTTGTAAAGTAGGGGAGGAGTTGCAGAGCCCAGAAATAGGCACCAGGACTCTTGTTTTCCCTCTTTTCAGGAGGCGGCAGCCGCTTCCCGGTGACACTTAATAATTAAAGATAACGAGAAGCGCAGGAGATAAAAACAGAGCTTTCAAAAGCTCCCTGGCTGGCACTTTTGTTCTGGGCAGAGGAGGTTTTATTTGGGGGGAGGTTGTCTCTGTGTGACTCGCTGAGCTTTTATCTCCTTTGCTGCTGTATTTTTTCATTCCCAAGGGCAGTTTGTTTCTCCAGCAGCTCTTTCTGCCTGTGGCAGGGCCCTGTGTGCATGTGGGTGAGGTGTCTGTGCAGCAGCATTGTTGGATCAGGCCTCCCTGCCATGAAAAGGTGCCTCTCTTAGCAACCCAGCCCTGCTCCTCGCTAATCCTTCCCCAGACCAAGCCCTCTGTGGTGCTGTGATTGGCTCTGTGCTCGCTGCATTCCCTGGATTCAATGGCAGAGGGCTGAAAGGAAAAGCTTCCTCCATGCCATGCTGAGAGCCTTTCCCAGGTGGGGGATGGCAAGGGCAGGCTCCCACACTGGCCAGGGATCAGATTTGTTTTCCTTGGCTACAGCATGGGATGCACACAGCATCCCACTGCTGGGTGTGGGGCAAAGCTTGGTGCTGTTCTGTGCCTTGAAAGCACAGCTCCTGCTAATGACCACGTCTGCTTTCTGCAGATAAAAAGGGTGAATGCATCTCAGAAATCCTTTGCATTTTCCTCTTGGCCACCTCCCTTCTCCCGTGATGCAGCAGAGTGTGGGGAAGGGCCACGTTGTAGCCTTGCCCTGCATTTCCTCTCTGGCAGAAAAGCCAAATTACATCTTTGCTCACAAAAGCTGCCCAGTGCTGAGAACCGCCCCCCCAGGGTTGGGAGGTTGCTTTTTTCCTTTTTTCTTCTTTATTTCTTTTTTTTTTTTTTTTGTCTTGCTGTAGGCAAGGCAGCTGACAGGAAGATGACTGTTAACTTGACAAGATAAATGCCTTCAATCCACACAGCCTGTGAACAGGCCATTAAAATTATAATCTAATCCTTTATTAGGGGACTTGAACCCGCTCAGGGAAATGGACACAAGAAGCTTTTGAAATCCTTTTGCAGCCTCCACCCCATGTGATTTTAAAAGGTTTCTCACCACAAAACCAGCCATAAGTGTGCTAACGAAATCTTAATTTTCGGTGTGGGTGCTTTACCCCTCGATGAATCTGTCATCTTTCTAATTACTGTGGTATTAAAAAACAGCCTTTGCTTCCAAAGAATTAGAAGTGTTTTGTAAGATTCACTAAAATAGCACCAGGACTTGTTTGTTGGTCGTTTTTTTTTCTTTTTTAATTCTGACCTACACAATATGTATTAGGCAGAACTTGTGGCATCAGCTTTCTTTAAGAACATCCTAAAATTATCTTGCTGTTTACATATCATCAATTCTTTTGTTCCATCTGGGATGTGGATCTTTCCTAATTACTGCAGGTATTGAACAGTGCTGTGTATTCATCACTTGCCAAATTTAATGTCAGCCTCTTAATGTGCAGTGGGGTTTTTTTTGTTCTTGTGATATTAATGGATACCAGTCTTGCAGAAATACTGGTAAAAAAAAAAAATCCAAGCTAAGTCTTGGTATGTGAGATTAAGTGTAAGCACTTCTTAACCTTGCAGTGGGAAAATACACTTTTATCAGCAGAGAAGCAACAGGGCTGATAAGTTCTGTTCTTGGAGAGGGGTTTGTTGTGGCTCTGCTGTGATTTGTGGTTTCAGAGCTCGTCAGGAACTCCTCATCCTGACCCAGCTCTGCTCCTGGCAGGTTTTTGCACCCAGGGTGTGCTGTGAGCTCTTGAAACCCCCCATAGGCTGGAGCTGAGTGGGGTCTGTGGCTGCTGCACTTTGGGGATGTGTTTTATGCTGTGCTGGGGCTCTGGGGTCGGTTTGGAGCTCTGGCAGATGGGTTTGCTGCTCCCAGGAGCTCTGGGAGCTGCACTAATCGAATCCAGCAGCACCTTGGGCCAGTGCAGCTGCCGGCAGCCCCGGGGCAGATGGATGTGTCCAGCCCAGCACAGGGAGGTCAGCTGCAGTTTAATCTGGGAGGCTGGAGCAGCCCTGCCTGCAGAGGGGTCTGGGAAAGCTTTTGTGTGTCCAGTTTTGTGCAGGACTGACCAGAGCTGCAGCATCAGGGGTGGTGACAGGAAGGGGAAGCACCACTTCACAGGATTAACCATAGATTTTATTGGAAAGGACTTCACAGCTCATCTTGTTCCATCCCCTGCCATGGGCAAGAACTCCTTCCACTACCCCAAATTGCTCCAACCCCTGTCCAGCCTGGCCTTGGGCACTGCCAGGGATCCAGGGGCAGCCACAGCTTCTCTGGGCAGCTGTGCCGGGGCCTCCCAGGGAAGAGTTTACTCTGTAATCACAGATTTAGACTAAAGTAAAAGCATTTTGTTAAGTTGAAGGACACATTTCTAGGCTTTTAAGGTAAGGTTTATCCTTTGTGTGAGGAAAGGAGATACTGGGTGGATCTTGCTCAGCTGAGCTAAAATATATTTCTTGTCACATAAACCTTCAGGTGCATCTTCCCTAGTAATAAAATAAAATGGGAGTGGTGGCTGTGTCCATTTTCAACAGCATTGCAAAATATAGTCTGAGAAGTGAAAAAAAATCAAGTCTTAAAGCTTAAAACCAAGCTGCTGAATAGCAGGGGGTGTTTGGCTGCCTGTGGAGCATGCCCAGGTGGTTTTCCAGCCAGGAATACTGATATTTGGGGGGTAGTTAGGCATTCCATGTAGGCTCAGAAGAGATAGATGGGCTGTAATTAACAGCCCATGCAAGCAGCCTGCTAGGGAAAGAAAAAAACAGAAAAAGCATGTCCTGGAAAGTCTTAATTTTTAACCATCAGCTCAGAGAATAATAAAAGGGAGGGAAGTATTGAGTTTTTGGCTTTCTGCACATTAAGATAACTTCAGTCTCCCAGGGAAACCTTATCTGCTGGTGGAGGAGGGGATTTCTCCACAAGCTTCCCAGGCTGTGCATGTGCAGCACTGTCAGCTGGGGACTGGGGAGCTTAAAATCATCTCAGTGTAGCTGCATGCACGAAGCACATTTTGGATTTAGTTCCAGAGCACTCTTCAAAATAAGAGATTTTTCACGTTAAGAGTGTTCAGGCAGAAATTTATGTGTTTTGGCAGTACTGAAATTAGCGTGACTAAAACAAGCAGAGTCTTGTGCTTTGTGGAGTCCTTGGGATCAGGGTTCCAAACACTGTCCTGGAGGTTTGGCTGCTCTCCCTGAAATCTCCAGGTTTGGTTTCATCCCCACAGACATGCAGAAACTCACCTGAGGCTTCATTGCATCATTGGATCTCACTGGTGCTCCTTTAAGTTAAGAGAGCTTAAGGTGATGAGAGGCAGCAGGACAAATTGAATTTCTGGCTTGTTCTTGCCTTCTCAGTGAGCAGCAGCCCTGAATATTCTTGCTATAACCTCTAGACAGACATTAAAGAAACATATTTCGATTTATGCCCTTCTTAGAGTTACAGATAAGATCTAAATGGCACCATTTAGCTACTAGAGCCAGGATTTAAGTTGTGTTAATTCCAGCTGTTGGGCCAAAAACTCTACAAGTGCTAGGATAATGTAAATATTTAATAGACTATTGCCATTAAAAAGATTAACAGCTCTTCAGAGGGGTGGAGCTGGGTCGCTGTTCTCTGGTTTCCATCAAGTCAATGAATTTTAGTGCTGATCTCCCTGGAAAGCTGATCCCAAGCATCTTGGTCATACTCCATAGAGTGCAGGTTATTTGTGCTGCTGCAGTTCCCATCACAGCTTTGCTTTTGGGTAAATCTAGGCCAGTGCCAATGAGGACAATTCAGCCAAATTAATCTATTTTGGTGAAAATGCGCTGAAAAGAAAAGCAGCACTGAGAGAACAGAGAGCTGCTGCTGCAGGAATTATCCCACTGATTGTTGGTATTCCTTGATTTCCAGGAAGATGATGAGAAGATAATTCATGAGATTCAGAAGGAGGCCGAAGAGGAGCAAAGGAAGAAGAATGGGGGTAAGTCACTGTTGGGATCAGGCTGAGGATGGATGATGGGACAGCACAGGGCTCCCAGCTGCTGATGGGTCTCTGGACCTGCACTGGGCTCTGTTCTCCTGGGAGCTGCTCTGTTTTTAAAGTGCTGTTGCACAGATTTTTGCTGGGATTGTGAGCAAACACAAGATTTGTGCCCATCTCTCACATGGCACCAGCGTTGTGGCTGTCTCTGCTTGGCAAAGTAGCTGAGGGGCATCAGAACCTTTGAGCTGTGGTGTTGGGGGGCACAGGGGCTGCCCCACATCCCACAGCAGGAAATGCTCCTTTTTGTGGGGTGTTGGTGGTGAAAGGAGCTGGGCTGGAGAGCTCAAGGGGCAGCAGTGATGTTGTGCTTGGAATGGGGCTGCTGATGGTGGTGGGGTGAGGAGCAGCTCTGTGGGGCGCTGAGCAGCTCTGTGCGGCGATGAGCTCATGGATGGGCCGCTCTGTGGGGTGCTGAGTGCTCTGTGGGGCAATGAGCCGCTCTGTGGGGTGTTGAGCTCGTGGGTGGGGCGCCGGGCCGCTCTGTGGGGTGCTGAGCTCATGGATGGGGTGCTGAGCCACTCTGTGGGGCAGTGAGCTCATGGGTGGGACAATGAGCCGCTCTGTGGGGTGCTGAGCCACTCTGTGGGGCAGTGAGCTCATGGGTGGGGCGCCGGGCCGCTCTGTGTCTGTGGGGTCACTGCTCTTTGCTCTCCCCCCCACGTGCAGAGAACAGCTTCAAGCGCATCGGCCCTCCGGTGGAGAAGCCCGTGGAGAAGATCCAGAGGATGGAGGCCATCCCCAGGCCGGTGCCCCAGAACTTCCACCAGCCCCGGATGCCCCCGTACCCCTTCGTGCACCCCCCGTTCCCCCTGCCCCCCGTGCGGCCCCTGTACAACAACATCCCCCTCAACATCGGCCCCATCCCCGCCCCCTACGTGCCCCCCCTGCCCAACATGAGGGTGAACTTTGATTTCCCCCAGATCAACGTGCAGCTGGAGCACAACCTGCCTATGCACTTTGGGCCTCAGCCCCGGCACCGCTTCTGACCTGCCCCACAGCACAGGGCAAAGCCACCCCTTCATGTCACCCCCTCCCCACTCCAGCCCCTCTGGGGTCTAGCAGCAGCCAGGGGACTCAGTGTCCCTGTGCTGCCCCCTCTCTAGGGCTTCTCCAAACCTTTGCAATCCAACATTTCAACCTGTGCTGCGACAGGGTTTGGTGCTACATTTCCCAGGGGTGGAGTTCCCCCCCAGATGTTTTGTTTTGACAAAGCCTGTTCAGGCAGCTGTTGGGAGGAAAAGTGAGGCTTTGTAGGACACAGGAATACAGCTGTTCCTTGGGGAATTTCCAGAAATCCTGCCTTTCTGCTGGCCAGAGCAGCAAAGTGAGCCTTGGAGGAAGGGAGGAGACGCTTGGCATCTGAGTGAGCATAAAACCTTCAGGAGTGAGGTAACAGGAGGCAGCTGCCCCAGCCTGCTGCCTGTGCTGAGGCTCAGGGCTGGGGTTCCTGTGTTCTCCAGCATCCCTGTATCCTGCTGGCACCTCCCAGCAGAAATAAATTGTTCAAAAGCAAGTCAATGTAGCATTTTTAGTGTGCCTCGCTCTCCAAGCAGAGCCAGGGGCTGCAGCAGCTGTCCCACTGCTCAGGGCTTGGTAGGGAGCCCACAGCCATGTTCTGTTTGGGGGTGTTAGGAAGTGGCAGGAGATTTGGGCACCAAATCTTTGGCTGGACTAAACTTGCCCCCTTTGAAGGGCTCAGTTTTCCCCCCTAAAGGTGTGTGCCCCTCAAACGTGGCCTTTGCTTTGCTGTTCTCGTCTGGCATCCCAAACTGGGATGCTGGGGGAGCCCAGCTTCTGGCAGCAGTGCTCAGGCAGCTGTGCAACCACCTGGAGCCAAAGCTGTGCCCTTACTGCAAAGACTGCCTGGGAGACACCCAGACAGACGTGCAGGCAGTGATGTGTCCTGTGGAAGGAAAATTGGGAATGTTCCCTGGAGCTGCCACAAGCTGGGAGCCCCTGTACCCAAACCCTCACACCCAATGGGCAGCTGGGGCCTCATGCTGCAGGAAGCTGGCTGCTTCCACAGCCCCAAATAACTCCTGAAAATGTGTGTGTCAGCTTAATTGGCTTTGGAAAAGTGTGTTAAAAGTTAAACCTGAGTATTGCTGGGCTTGGAAAGTGAGGGAAAAGCAAAACTTCCTTGTGAGCAGTGCTGGGCTGTGGGAGGAGGGTGGCACGAAGCCCTTTCTCCACATCCCTTGGCTGTGCTGCCTGGTACAGGCCCCATATAGAAAAGAAAACGGTTGAAGTGGAAAAAACCCCTCTTCCCAGGAATGTTGGGCTGGCTTCTAGCAGCCCATTTGTGCTGTTGTTCTCCAAATGTTTTGTTCTGGCCTTCATCCTGTTCTGTCCTGCTGGGAACTCTCTGGGTGCATCTCCCCTCCTGTCATTCCCCCCTGTATTGCAGCATCCAGGTGTTTTGTGGGTTTCTTTGTGTTTTTCGGGTGAAATTCCCTGTCTCCACCTCACAGCTTCTGCCAAAGCCCCAGTGCAGCACAGGGAGCCCTGGGGTGTGCAGGGGGCACAGGGTGTCAGTGGGATGCTCCTGACAGGGCCTGGCACAGCATTTGGGGACTGCTCTCCCAGGCTGGAGGATTTCCCTGCCTTTTGGAGCTGAGTGCTTTTCCCATTGCCTGTGGGTCAGACATTCCCTGTGGAGCTCTCTGGCTCCTCTGTGCCGTGGCCTCTCCAGCATTAACAATCAACTGCTGTTCCCTTGCTGCTGGAATTTTCTATTTTGAATTGGTTTATTCCTGGCAGGGGTGTGGGGGCTGCAGGAGCTCTGTCACTTGCTGCCCAGCTGGGCTCTGACCAGGTTTAAATCCTGCCTTGCACCCCTGATTCCGGCAGGGGCAGGAATCCTGTAGGGCTTGGGGAGGGAGAGCTTTGTCACAGCAGCTGCTGAGAAAACACACCCAGGGCAGAGTGGTGCCTTCCCTCGTGCAAAGGGAATCCTGTTTGCTCATTAGCTGAGGTTTGTGGGCTCAGGGGCTGGTTTGGATGAGCCCTCCAGGCTCTCCAAGGCATTTTTCCCTTCCTGGTGGGTGCAGGAGGCAGTGGCCCAAACTAAGAAGGACATAGGGTGGTCATCCAGCAAAAAATGGAGGTGCAGGGATGTGTGGGCATGGAGAGCTGAGCCTTGGCAGAGGGAAGGGTGGGTGTGGAGCAGAGGGGCTGCAGAGGTGGCACAGAGGTGGCACAGGGAGGTTGGTGGCTGTGGTCCATCAGGGTCACTGCTGCCCTGGTCCTGGAGGAGCCTGGAGGATACAGAGGGAAGGGAAGGGAGGGTTCCCTGCCAGAGCCAAGGGGTTATTTGTGTCCAAGGGGGGATCAATCAGTGCCTGGGCTGTGGTGTGCAGGTACACCATGCCCAGCACACCCAGCACTGCCCCTCTCCCCAGAGAAACACCCAAAACCTTGCAGCCCAAACACGTGGCTGCTTCTCCCCTCTAAGCCAGGAGATCTCAAGTTGTTTCTGAATCTGTGTTGATTTATTAAAAAAAATATATATATAAAAAGCCCAAAACTTACTGAGCCACCCAATCCAGCCTTGAGCTGGTTTCTAACTCCTGCATCCTACTTTCCCTCTTGTCCCAGTCTTTGGAATTGTTTAAAGGTTTTGAAGGCAATGAGGAGGTTGCTGTGCCCAGGCTGATCCCATAACAGGTACTTCTTACAGCTAATTGCAGTGTCCCATTTACTTGCCTTAAAGGTGGAGAGAGAAACTTAGTATTTGCACTTAGCAAAACGATGTATTAAAAGAAAAAAAGACCTGTAAAGATGTGCATGTTCTGCAACTTTGTATAACAATAGCTGAAAATAAATAGGTGGTTTATTAAAAAAAAAAAAAAGAGAAAAAAACCAAAAAATATTTTTCTTTACATTCTGGTAGTAAACAGTTCTAATATTCTGTGTGTAAAAAGTTCCTGTATTATATTGTAATTTGAATTTTTGTAAATAAATTTGTGCACTCTGGCTTTTCACCTGTGTGCTTTCCTTACAGCCATGACCTTGTTCTCCCATCCTGCCTGTGCTGTGGAAACTGCCCAGGTCTAAGGCAAAACCCCAACTGATCCTCCTGGAACAGCTGGACCTGTTCCCTGTGCTCCCAAGGAAAAACTGGATGGGAGAGAAAATGGTTTCCAGTCACTCCTTTAAATGGAAGCCAGGATGGGGGGAAGGCTGAGGGGATTTCCCCTCTTGCTGGAGTCTGGTGAATGATGGTAAATGCAGAATCCAGCCTGGAGGGGAAAAAAAGGAAATGTGTGCTGGCAGCTGGGGAGAGGGAAGGGGGAGAGTCCTCCTGCAGCTCCAGAGCCCTGCCCTGGGTGGGCAGCCCCTGGCAGAGCTGCTGCCCTGGCTGGGGGTCACAGCCTGGTGCCACAGATGTCACAGTGAGGCCATCAGAGCTGCTCAGCATTTCCTGCACTGCCCTGGTTTCTCCCTGTTTATGGCCAGCACTGCACATCCATCCATCCATCCATCCATCCTTCCTTCCGCCCTTCCTTCCTTCCTTCCTTTGGCCCTTGCAGGGCTCACCCCCCCAGTCTGATGGTGAAGGTCCCTCTGGGCAATGCCATCCCCTTGTCCCCCTGGGGTGTGTGCCTGGGGGGTGCTGAACAGCCCCCCCATCCCAAACTTTGCTTTTTCCAATCAGTTTTACATTTCCCAAGGCAGACAGGAGCCCGTGGGTGCCCAGCCAGGCTGTGTTGATGGGCAGGGAAGCTCTGGCTGTTCTCAGTGCAGGTCTGGAGGTGTTGGTTGAGTTTCGGGGCTGCTTTCAGTTGGGAGGGCTGGGGGCACGTCTTGGCTCCAGGATGTGAGTTGGGCTGGGCTCCCCTTCTCTCTTTAGTCCTTTAGCTTGTCCTTTTCCACATCCCTGAGCAAAGGAGGCTGATTGCTGATCCCTACCCAACCACACACCCAAATCCTCCATCCCAGGAGGTGAAACACCTGAATCAAGAGGGGGCACAGCTTTGCTCCTGGTCCTGACCCATCCATGGGTCACCCATCCCCGGCTGCCCCTGGGCTCAGTGGCTTCAGCCTCTGGCTTTGGCTTTGCACCTCTTTGGGGCCTCTTAGTCACCGTTCCCTTCCCACCATCTCCTCTAGAACTCTCTAGAACCAGCTCAGCCCATCAGATAAAGGCTCCACCACCCCAAATCTCCCCATTCAGGCTCTTGCTAGACCCAACAGACCACACACCAGGTTGAATCCGAATGCAGGTTTTATTTTTTAATTCATCTTTCTCCATTTGAAGCTATTTTTTTTTAAGTTATACAAATGGCACTTACAAAAAAAATAATAATAATAAAAAAAAAAAAAAAAAACCCAAAACTTAAATTTTCAGAGTGAGATGTTTTCAGAGAGTCACGACACCCGATAAGAGGAGACAGGAGAGATGTTTGACCTAACGTCACACGGGGGAGGCCGGAGCAGGGATGACACGGGTGGGAGTGTGACGGGGTGGGGAGGAGGTGACACAGGGAGGGGTGAAGGCCAGCGAGGGTGTGTGTCACGTCACAGGGTCACACAGGGCTTCAAGACACTCGGTCCTTGGCGGGGCAGCGCGTCCCTGGGGCCGGGGGGCGCGGGCAGCCCCCGGTGTGAGCGCAGAGCCGAGGTAGAGTCCCAGCCAGGATCCCCTGCGCCCACCAGGGACCCCAGCCCGGAGCTGTGCCCTGCCTGGGCACAGCCACTCGCTCTCCCAGCTGAATTTAGCACCAAGCCCCAGGGGAGGGGATCCCTCCTCGTGGCTTTAAGGCTGACTGACGAGCCCCTGCCTGGGAGTAGGGACCGGCCCTGGTTTGGCACGGCAGCGATGCCGAGAGCACCCTTGGTGTGGGGTGGGACCAGCACTCCCCCTCTGCAGAGGGGGCCCACGCGGGAAAAGGCTCCTTGGTGTGTTTGCAGGGAGCAGAAACCGGCCCTGGGAAGGCCCCAAAGGATAAAGTGCCTTTCACCACCCTAAGGAACACGCAGCATCACCCTTACAGACAGCGTTAAACTCTAATGCAGACCTAGTACAGACAACAGCTGGTCACACAGTGCCATGGAGAGCATATATAAATAGAGACTAACAAAAATACTGTTTTGGTCTTTTTTTTTTCTTTTTTCCTTTTCCAGTAGGGTTGCAATTCATGAGAGCCCAGCCCAGGTGCCCTGGGGGTGGTGGGACCAGGAGCTGCCCCCTCGGGGTGCCCGCGGGAGCGGGCGCTTCCTAATTCAGCATTAGGTGTTCAGTGATTCGCTTCACTGTTCCAGTATTTTATGAGAGAGAAAAAAACAACATCGAAGGTACTGAGCAAATATCACTGTGCAAAGTTTGCTAAGGAACTTTTCTATTCTGTAAACCAAAATCTGCAGTTTATGCTTCCAGCCACTGCCCCGGGGAGATGACGTTGGCCAGCCCGGTTTCTCCCAGGACCAAAGCCCACTGGGGATGGGCTGGATGAAGCCCCCGCCCTGGCACGGGCTGGCTCTGTGTCCCCCACGCCCTCCCCTCCAGGCACAGCAGCAGGACCAGCCTCGGGGCAGGCTGGACCCACCATCAGGGTCTGGGATGCTCCTCCAGCTCCAGGAGCACAAGGAGGGGTGGAGGGACAGGAGCACGGGGCTCCATGAGATGAAAGGCTGAGGCTTTCCAGACAGGATCGCCCTAAAGAATCATTTCCAGGTGTGTGGGGAGGGGCAGCTTGCTGGCCCTTCCACAGGGATGTGCTGGCACGTGCCAGCCCCATCCCAGGGATTCTGTGATATGTAAG